GACACTGGCAGGTATTTAGGGTTTGTCTAAGTTTAGTAGTGGAGAAACCAGAGTGGCCATGTTTTTAGTGAGTTAGCGTGTGTGCATGTGTTTGTGCACTGGCCTGCAGAGGTGCATAAAACCTCATGCGTGTTTCCCAGTCACTCTTTACTGTTCTGTTTTTGTCTGTTTGATTTTGTGTGTATGTGTGGGCGTACACATGTGTAAATCCGTTTTCCTTTATTGATTTGTTTCCTAGTCTTTTTTTGTTTTGTTTTGTTTTGTTTTTCTTAAATGGTGGAGTAGGTTTGAATCCAACTGTTTCCTCTAACAATGATGATGAAACCAGTTTCTTGATTTGGATAAAACCAGCCCAGTGGAAAACGTGTGCCTCAGTGGCTGACTCCTGCTGCTGGGATGGAGGGAGCACCGTAGATGCTGGGACTTCCCAGAGTCCCTGCCCTGAGTGCTGCTTAGCTACAAATATGAATGCATACCGGTGAACTCATGACAGGGAAGAGCTTCTGGTTTTGACCCTGTCCTATCCATGTACAGTACTCTAACTGTTCACTCTATAGTTTGCAGGGCTTTTGGTAAGCCTGGCTTCTTTTGTGCTCTGGTGCCAGTATTTAAAGAAGGTATGAGAGCCTTCAGCATTTGAAGGCCCCATGGAGCCACCAGAGGTGTGGTTGTTTGCTACATGGCAAGGAAGTTCGGAGTTTGTTTGGCAGAGCGCCCTCTCCTTTGGCTCTTCTGTACACCTGGTTTGGCATTTTGCTTTAACTGTTATCACTACATCCGATGTGTGAAGATCATTTGAATTCACCTTGGGTCACTTTGAAACATAAATTGATCTGAGCTAAAGTATTGCTGCTGTGTCCGAGGCTTGGACGGCTGTTGGTGTTATTAGACGGAGATTCTCAGAAAACTTAGCTTTTGGGGACACGGTTCACTTGGGAAAGCGTCTGCTGTGTGTTATGAGTGCCTGTTCATGCGGCTGTGTGAACGTACGAGTATGGGTGGGAGAGGCAGAGCTCTCCCACCAAACCACGAACCCTTGCTTTAGGGATGCTGGCTGATAAGTGATGAGACTCTGCGTATCGCAAGCACGGCAAACATGACTCGGCAGGCCCTCCCCTTTCCTCCATTCCCTCTGCCTTGCTAAAAACTGTAAGGTTATATTGCCCTTAGTGTTAGGTCTACGCCCTTATTTGGTCATTTCCTCCTTCTGAAGCTGACTACCAAGGTCCAGCTCTGCAAGTATTGAAGTCCAGCAATCAAAAGCCTTCATGGCTCACAAAGATTGGACTTGCCTCAAGGAACCCAGGGACCCTAACCAGCAGGAGGCAGCCTGAGAGAACTCAGGCCCCTGGCCCCACTAACTTTCTCTCTCCTACCCAGTGTTGTGGTGTTGGAAGGGACTGGGGTGGAGAAGGGAGGAAGAAGCATAAGAAAACGAAATAAAGTAGTATGAAACGTAACGCTTACACCTCTCCAGACAAAACCACCAGCAGGGACCAAGTGCTCAAATACATGAGCCAATCGGGGACGTTCTCATTTAAGGCACCATAGTGGTAAACGCTGCTATGCGATTAGATATTTTGTATCTAGTTTGGCACGCATGTACACTGCAGAATCATCAAGATTTTATGTTTTATTAAAATAATTGCCGGTAGAGCCGGAGAAACAACTCAGTGGTTCAGAGAGCCTCCTGCTCTTCCGGAGGACCTGAGTTTAGCTTTCACACTGTGGTAACTGCAGCTTTAGGAGATACAGCACCCTCCCTGGGACTCTGAGGACCCCTGTACCTCCCTCCCCACATGATTACACATGACTAAACAATAAAATAAACCTTTAAATAAAAGACAGTTACTTTTGCTTTCTAATGTTTTTGTAAGGCTTTTGGGTACTCAGAGAAGGCTCATTTAAGTATCTATGTTGAAGTCTTTTAAAAGACTGCTTTATAAATAATTACAGTTTCAAAGTGATTCAAGTCCATTTAACACCAGTGTATCTATATGCGTGTGAAATAAAATAATGATAGTCCATTTAAAGCAGCTTTAAAATGGGTGTAGGGCCGACAGGATGGCTCGGCAAGTGAAGGTGACTGCTGCTAAGTCTGGCTCCTTGAGTTCAGTTCCTGGGACTCACATGGAAGAAGGAGAACCGGATAACTGACCCCTGCCAACTGTCCCCTGTCCTGCAGACGTGTGCACCATCACACGATAAGAAATACATGTAACCTGTACATAGCTGTATGTCTGAACTTTATATACATGCTACCTAACACGTTTAATTTAAAGGCATAGAAATATATACAGTAAAAGCACATGGGAAGATACTTCTTGTATCTGGATGGTCAACATGAAAAATGGCAAGGAAAAAAAAGGGTTGGTTTTTTTTTTTAACATTTTTAATATATCTAACCAATACCATTCAGATAAAGCCATGCGCTTGGGAAATCATACTGGTTAGAACCTGTTCTATGTCTATTTGTCATGACTAAGAATTGTGTCATTGCATGAGTTACACTTTACCAGAGAGTGTTACAAGCTCTGTCTTCAACTAGTAAGAGGTCTGAAAGCTGGATTTCAATCTGTGCTGAGACATGTGACCCGAGCAAGACAAAGACTCTGAATTTTGCTTTAAAATAAAATATGTACATACACACACACATTTCTTATTTCATGATACAACAGATACTTTGTTAATGAGTTTGAAGAAAAAGATGCTTAGAAATCAGAGGATGAAGCAGGGCGTGGTGGGGCATGCCTATAATCCTAGTACTCCATGAGGCAGAGGCAGGTGGATCTCTGTGAGTTCGAGGCCAGCCTGGTCTACAAACGGAATCCAGAACAGCCAAGGCTACACAGAGAAACCCTGTCTCAAAAAAAAAAACAAAAACAAAACAAAATAAAACAAACAAACAAAAAAAAACCCCAAACAAACAAAAATCAGAGAATAAGTTTATAAGAAACATTAAATATTAATTGTTCTTGTCAAATACTATTAAACTTTTACTTACTATAATGAATTTATATCATTCAATATCCTCTATGCTGTGAATTTTTAATGACCCCCCACCTGGTAAAATATTTATTAAAAGTGTTAATATTCGTCATTTGGAAAGCTGTATGGAAAACTATTTTTTTTCAAGAAGTGAGAATGAATTCTACTGAGTCCTAGACTCACTCTGTAGACCAGGCTGGCCTTGAACCCACAGAAATTGACTGCCTCTGCCTCCTAGAGTGCCAGGATTACAGGCATGCACCACTAAGTCGGTCACCTAAAAAGTATTTTGAGCTTTATTTTGTTTTACATGTATAAGTGTTTTGCATATATGTGTGTGTCCACGTGTGAGTGGTCCCCATGGTGAGTAGAAGAGGGAATTGGATAGCAGGAATCTGGAGTTACAGAGGTTTGTGAGTTATCATGTAGGTCCTGGGAACTGAACCCTGGTCCTCTGAGAGTGACACGTGCTGCTAACCTTTATGCGTCTCTCCAGCCTTTATTCGGAGCCTAGGAAGACTTATTTATCCAACGGTTGCTTCATTCCCAGAATTTGAGCAGCCCACCCCTTCCTGCTTTCCCTCATTTCTTTTGCACCGGATTCTTTTAAAACTAACCAACCCGAAAAACCAAACAAAGGAGATCTGGAGGTCTTTCCCCCAGCTAACAAAAGCCTTGCACTGGGATAACAGCCTGTTGAATTTCCTGCTGGAGTTGCCTGATCTCTGGCTTTTGTCAGTGGCACATGCTTCCGATCAGAAGGAAGGTTTTGCCATGTTGGGGAGCTTTGTGAAACCCCAACCTTATTTTTAGTACAGTCATTTAAAGCAAGAGCATACCAGACCCCATCTGCCCTCTTCCTACTCAGCAGAAGGCCACCCTCATGTTTATTGAATGGCATATTGAAACAAGGGGGTGAGAGCGATGTAGAATTTTTGTCATAAGAATAGTTTCAAGATTTTAATTTTCACAAGGGAAGAAATTTATTTACCAGAATTTCTTTACTGACCCTATGTAGCATTAAAACAAAACAAGACAAAACAAAATCAGCAAACAAATGCTGTCGCCCTGGATTTGCATGTTGCTTCCAACATTTATGGTAGGTATTTGTTATCTTCAAGGTTGTCTTCAATCTGTTATTCTCAGCAAATGAATTTCTCACTACAGGCAAACACACACACATCATCCTGGATCCTGGCAGGGGAAAGAGTTTTGAAGGAGAAATAGAGAACACAGTTCAAGATTAAAACTACTTGCTCAATTTAGCTTGTAAAACTTGATTACATGGGAGTCCAAGAAAGAGTAAGGTTGATGACATTATTTTCTTGAAAGCAAGATAAATTTAAACAAGGTGATTACACAGGAGGGAAACAGGTTGAGTACAGAGTTTTAAACCACATGCATGCCTTGCTTTCAGAGTTGGGCAGAAGTTCAGTTTCTGAAGGCCAGCTGGCAAGGCATTTCCAGAAATCATTCCCACAGCGGCTATGGCTGAGTGGCATCAGGGTATAAAGGGACAAGCCAAGGAGCTCAGGCCACACAGCACAGGTAAGGAAGGAGCAGAGACCCAGCCTGGTGCTGGAGGACAAGATACAAGAGGAAAGGGAGAATGGCTTGAGCCATTCTAGAGGCTGGACCATGGAGGATGGATGGATGGATGGATGGATGGATGGATGGATGGATGGATGGATGGTTTGGAATATGGGGTTTCTCCAGGAGCACCTTTAGACTTTGGGGAACACAGTGTAATATGATAACAGGAGGTGTCTTGCTCAGAGCTTAGTCAGAATGTTAGCACAGTGGCGTTTTGGGGGTCACAGTGTGGACTTGTGGGTGAAACCATCCCTGGGCTCTTCTGAGCCTTTGAGTCTATGGAGAAAAGGATTCCCGAATGTTCCCCTGTCTCAGTCTGGGGTGTGGGGATCCCTTATACCTGATGTCTTTTCCTCAGAGCCTCTCTGAAGTTCTTGCTACCCCCCTGCGGCTTCTAAGCATCAGACTTGTGCCCCAAACCCTCAGCAGCCATGCTGCTGTTGGTGACATTGGCTTTTCTAGCCAGTTCCACCTGCGGAGCCCAGAGTGAGTACCTGAGCCTCCTTTGTGGCATTCACCTCCTGAATGCTGTCCTGGGTGTAAGGGTCTCTGAGTGAGGGAATGCTCCTGAGCACTCTCCTACTGCCTCCCCTTTCCAGACATCCTGGGCAATCGTGTTGGCACCTATTTCTACGCTATTGGTAACCATCATGGGGAACTCAAAGGCATCCGGATCTTCTTAACACCATCAAGACACATCAAGGCGTGAGTAGGATGCTGGCGACTCCCAGTGGTGCCCACTTCCTGTGGCTTGTCTGGAACCCTAACCCGAGCTGTCCTACTTGGGGCTGGAATGCTCAGGCTTGGGTAAGACTGGACAGTCCTCAGGGGGGCCGGTGGAGAGGGACCTCTGACTTTCTAATTCAGAAAGGACCAAAGAGGCTTCAAGGGCCCCTCCTCCAGGTAGCTCTGGAGGCCTAAGCGCCCCTTGGTAGTGACAGAAACTGCTCACACGGTCTGAGAGACATCCTTGTCTTCACAAGACATGAAATGTGCTGCTGACTCAGCCACTCTGGACCTTTCCTCTGCTCCAGAAGGGGCAGCCATTCCCTCGGGACAGGCAGGTCTTGATTGTCCTCCCCAGTCTCTGCCTCTTGAGAGCTGTTGTTCTCCTAGAGTGCCACAGGCAGACAGACACATGCATAAAACACACACACACCACACACACAGAGCCAGGTGGAGAGTGACTGACACACACAAGGGCAAGCACACACGTGCACTTCGCCTACAAACACAATTTAATATGGACAACACAGATACACTAGTTCTTTCCCTTTTTAGGGTACAGGGGGTTGAACTTAAGACATACCACGGTGTTTTGTCTGCAGCCTTCAGTTTTATGCAACAGGATCTCACTATGTAGCCCAGGCCAGCCTTAAGCTTGGAGTCCTCCATCTCATCCTGTTGGAGAGAACATGGTTATACCTTAAAGGTGCAATATTGAAGCCTGGCCTGGTGGCCCACTCCCATTCTCAGCTACCCAGACAGCAGATGTTAGAGGATAGCAAAAACAAGGCCAGTTTGTGCTACAGAGTCACTTCAAGGTCAGCCTGAACAATTTAGTAAAACCCTGTCTCAGACTAGAAAGCAAAGCAAGGGTTGGAGCTGGGTGCAGTGGCGCAAGCCTGTGATCCCAGCACTTGAGGAGGCAGAGGCAGGTGGAACTCTGTGAGTTTGAGGCCAGCCTGGTCTACAAAACGAGTTCAGGACAGCCAAGGCTACACAAAGAAACCCTGTCTCAAAAAACAAAAAAACAAACAACAACAACAACAACAACAAATTCAAGGAAATTCTGGTGACAGAGTGAGATCCAGTTTCAATTAAAATTAAAAAAAAAAAAAAGAACAAAAGGAGAGAGAGAAAAAAGATTGATAATGTAGCTAGGGGCTCACCCAGAACATATGTGACTCTAGGTTCATTCCCCAGCATCACCAAAGAGGTGAGGGCTGGCAAGATGGCTCTGGCAGGTAAAGGTGTTTGCTGGCCCGACTGACCACTTGAATTTCATCCATGAAACCCACATAGTGGAAGGAAAGAGCAAAATCCCAACATTTTCCCTCCCACCTGCATTGAAGCCTTGGCACATGTGGGCCTACATGGATAGACATATACAAATACATTCCTGCACAAAATCAATGACAGCTCAGTGTCAAAGATGAGCAAATAAGCCGTTGTAACATGGGATGAACTTGTACTGAAAATTACTCATGATTATCTAATTGAGTTAGACACCCTTCCTGCACTTTATCTGGAGTCTGATTTTGGTACGCGTCACACCCTGCAAGCAAAGAAAGAAGCGGGCAATAGGCAGGGTCTAGAAGCCCTGGGGGGTCATCTTGCTTGGTTGCTCAGCAGAACAGCTTTCAGGGCTCTCCTGTTCCTACTCGACAACACAAGGAGGGGAGATCCTGTCTCTCTGGTCTCTGCCTGTAAGGTCCATCCCTGGTCAGTGTGGCTGCTGCCTCATCTGGGACTAATAGGGGAGGAGGCTCCAGAGGGGAAGCTATGAGTCAGACCCTGAAAAAGTTTCAGGCTCACGATGGGCTGAGGAGTAGACCTAGCCGCCCTGGCACAGAAGCCTGACCAGGGCCAGACTCTCTGAGGTCTTATGAGGAGGGATGTGTCTGAGAGGCAGAAAGAGGAGGGACTCAAGGCTGCCATATCAGAGCTGGGCACTTCTGGAGACTGAACTGTGAACTGGAAACTGGGACAGGGTGCAGATGTGAGAACGAGCAGAACCAGCATCCTGAGGTTGTGCTGACTTGATTTTTCTCCAGCATCCAGCTGAAGTTTGGCAACTTCTGGAGTGATATCTATGGTTCCCCGTCACTAAACTACAAAGACTTTCTTCTGGAGGATGGGGAGCACGTGACAAAGGTGGAAGGCAGCGTATCAACTTGCCTGAATTCCCTGCACTTCATTACCAACAAGAGGCGTGTGGCCTCCTTTGGTGTTAGAAGTGGCCTTCCCTTTGAGGACAGAGGAGATTCAAACAAACATCTAGCGACTATCAATGGTATGTTCTTACCAGGCATCTGTATCAAAGGGATGGGGTTCATATGGGAACGTGGCCCAGAGAACTTGGTCTCCCCGAAGCCTCCAAGAAGGCCAATGGACAGCTTGGACATTTCCAGAGATAAGGAAGACAAAGACAAAGACAGTGAAAAAAATAAAGACAAAAATGATGATGATGATGATGATGATGATGATGATGATGACGACGACGATGAAGACAATGACAAAAAAGATAATAATGACAAAGATGACAGTGATGACGATGATGATGATGAAGATGACAAGAAAAAAAGATGAGTAAGAGTGGTAGAATGCTTGAGCTCGGTCTTGCATCCCTACATTACCACCTCCTCTCAGCCAAGTGCACCCACCTGGAGGGACCAATATACCAGGTGACCCTGGGCCGGGGGAGGCAAAGCCCTAATGGCCTGTAGTGCTGTGTTCAATAAACTATGTGCATGTATGTGAGCCTGTGTGGTCCTTGTCACCAAATGGAATGGGCTTGCGATTCCCCAAGAACCTCCTTTTCTTCCCCACTTTTTTGGACCTACACCTGTGCACTGGGTTAGAGTTTGCACAGAAAGAACCGTGGTCAACTCATCAGGACCAAGGTCCCTAGAATGAGGGCAGCATCCAGCCACTTCCTGTCCCAAAGCAGCATGGGCCTGCAAGGAGAGCTCAGTGTGTGCTGACTGGGCTGGCAGGGACTGGCTTTGCAGTGGTCCCGGTTAGCTCTATTTGAGCAGGTGTCCTTGCCTCCTGTTCCTCCGGCCTCCTCCTCCCTTCCCCTCTCCCATCCTCTTCACTGTCCTCTCACATAGCTGGGCTGCCTGGAAAGCATCCGCCACCCACTTGGGGATTAAACCTAGGGCCTTCTGCATGCTAGGCAACTACTGTACCCCTGAACCACAATCTTAGATTGCTCTGTGTCTATCTGTCTGTCTCTCTCGGTCTGTCTATCTATCTACTATCTGTCTGTCTGTCTGTAATCTATCTATCTATTTATTCATGAGACAGAGTCTTCCATAGCCCTAGTTGGTCTACAAGGATGAATGTCAAGTCTGTTTAACATAGAAACTAAGTTCCAGCCAGCCAGGCTCAGGCACTCATCAAAAACATCTAGTCAGCAGCTAAGTGGACTGCTGTGGTCAGGAGAGGTCTCCAGCCAATGTTCATGGCTTCCTTTCTCCTTGCACAGAGGCAGGTACATACTTTGCAGAATTTTAGAAATGAGTTTCATATATATACTCCAATTTTGATTATAATATCTCCTGTGGCAAGTCAATGGGAACCATCTGTTTTAAGTCAAAGAGTATAAATTTCAAGATGCCTGTGCAGCTCGTGGGGACAGACGTGGCAACCTTTATGAGATATTAACATTATGTTAATCTCAAGGGAAGTTTGCAGAACAGGGTGAGGCAAATGAGGAATTTTTTTCTCCATCTCAGCTAAGAGGATCCTCTGACTTTTGTTTGCAGACTCCAGGCTACTGAAACCTTCAGTTAGCATTTAAAGGTAAATCAACTGGGCTAGGTGACACACGCCTATAATTCAAGCTACTTGGAAGACTGAGGCAGGAGGATTCAGAGCTCATAACCTGACTAAGCAACTTTAGTGAGGCCCTGCCTCAAAAGAAATTTTTAGAAACATTTTTATGTTTGACAATTTAAAAATATATTAGCTTTTACATTTTATGTACATCTGAGTGTTGCTTTGGCATATGTCTGTCAGCTTCAAATTTTTAAGTTTTTAAAGTAAGAAAAAGAGATAGAGTAAGAGAGAGAGGACCTGGATAGTTGGCATGGGTTAAGAAAACCTGGTTTGGTTGCCAGGACCCACACAGGGCAGCTAACAGCCCTCTGTAGCCCCAGCTCCAGGGAATCTGAGTCCTTTTCTGGCACCAAGCATGAATGTGTTATATATTCACACATGCAAACAAATGCTTACACACATTTAAAAAAAAATAAAGAAAAGAGGCTTAGACAGCTGGGCATGTTGGCCCATGCCTGTAATACTTAGAATAGGTAGAGGTAGGAAGGTCAGGAGTTTAAACTTACTGCATTAGTCAGGGGTCTCTAGAGTAGCCGAGTGAATATCTCTTTCTATAAATATAGAAAAGGGATTTATTAGAATGACTTAAAAACTGTGGTCCAACTAATCCAACCATGGCTATGAGCAGAAAAATCCAAGAATCCAGAAGTTGCTCCGTCATGAGGCTGGGTGTCTCAGCTGGTTTTCAGTAGACACTGGAATCTCGTGAAGGAATAGACTTGGGCAAGGCGAGGACAAGGAGCCAAAGAGCAAAACTTCCCTTTCCCCATGTCCTTATATAGGCTTCCAGCAGAAGGTGTGGTCCAGATTAAAGGTGTGTCTTCTCCCCTCAAGATCTGGATCAAAGGCATGTGTTTTCCTGCCTCAAAGATCCAGATCAAAGGTGTTTATCTTTCTACCTCATAAATTTGGACTAGAAGTGGATTCACCCCCTTCAAACCAAGCCAAATATACATATATTTGTACATATATACATATAATTTCACAGGTGAGCCTCCCTTTCTGGATTGCAGTTCATTCTAAACGTAGTCAAGCTGACAACCAAGAATATCCATCACTATCAAGTCTGAAGTAGGTTGGTTGTCTCAAAAACAAAACAAAGGCAGGAGATACAGCTCAGTGATGCTGTCCAGCTTACACAAGGCCTTTGATGTGGGTGCTCTTAAGACCTCAAGACATCTCTTCAGCTCCCCAAATGTTAAGAAGTAAAGAAATGAGAGAAAAATGTCTGTGTGAATTGTTGGGGTTGGAAAAGCCAAAACAACCCAATCAGTCACAAGAGCCCAGAAAAACAAGATCTTCACTGAATTATGCAGCAAAACCTGACCAGCCACGGACAACAGTACAGACTTCATCTTAGCCTTTAGGCAGATGTCAAGAAATTTATTGTACTCAGGCCACTACTGATCCATCAAGGCTGCAGAACATTCTGAGGAGCTAAACTGCAACCCCAGACCAGATGCCACAGAGATTTTCAGCCTGAAATCCACAGACAGCTGTGCCACGCCCTCCCACCCACCAGGATTTAGGGATGGGGGACTTCTTAGGCGCATGTGTCTGTGGCACCCTTATCCCGTTCCCATTGGTTGGGTTATTCAAATGTAGCGGAGTAACTTGCCTATCATTCATGTCTCAGCTTGCCAACTAGGATGCCAGTTACCCGAATACGTGCTTCTCTCTGCCAAGCAGGATGTCAGTTACCCAGGGACGTAGAGCCAGAGCTGGAAAGGCAAGCTAGATGCTAGGGTGAGGCACATTTCTTTTTCATAGTCTCTTAGTTTTTGCCTTCTTTCTGTATTTCCTCTGTTCACACTGGGTATGTAAGACAAATGGCCTCAGCATTAGATTGAAGCAGGTCGGAGGTGGAGGAGCAGCTCTTAAGATTAAGAGCTTGCCCACCATGGTAGCACAGGTCTTTAGTCCCAGCACTTGGGAGGTAAAAGGAGGCAAAGTTCAAGGCCAGCCTGGTCTACAGAATGAGTTGGTCAGCCAGAGCTACACAGAGAAACCCTGTCTCAAAAAACCAAACCAAATCAAGCCAAACCAAACCAAACCAAACCAAACCCCCCAAACCCAAAAGATTAGGCTGCTGAAAGGTTGGGTATCGTAGTCCACACCCTTATATCCCATCTATCCCAGCATTCTCAAGTTTGAGAACAGCCTGGCCTACATGTTTTTCTCCCCAAAGGGGGAGAAAAAGCCCTCTGGAGCTGGGGAAGATAGCTGTCAGTACGAGTTTGGATCCCTGCACCCACAGATATCATTCGGGTATGGTGGCACACACCTGTAATCCTAGCACTGGAGAGATGGAGACAGGAGGAACAGTGGGGCATGCCGGCCACACAGTGTAGCCAAATGGGCAAACTCCGAGTTCAATGAGAGGTCTCCAGAGTGTGGTTGAGGAAGACGCTTGACGGTACTGTGGCTTCAGCATGTGCGGACACACATTTGCATGTGAACACACAGTGGGCACATAGGCATGCATACTTTGTTACAGTCCAAGAACAGCGGCATAAACCATTCAGACATCGACCTGAATTAGACATTGCCGGTTTATTGAACACTTGCTCTAGGCTGATCGTGAAAGGGCCGCAGAAAGGACTTGGGAGCCTAGCTGTGACACTGCTCTGTTCTTACAGCAGGCTTTTTATAGAAAAATCAAGTGCAGAAGGCAAGGGAGGAGTGTCACGTTTTGGCTGACTAGACAAAGTATTATCAGCTGACCTTCAAGCTGCTTGGTGCCAAGTGAGGTAAATGAGGTACAGCCAAGTGTGGAGACAACAGAGAATGAGTTATGATGCCACTGACTCCTAGTAAGGTTAACCTGACCTTCTGGAAAGGTCTCTCATGTGTGTAATAGTTATGAATCTACTTCTAGGAAGCAGATCTAAAAATGTGAACTTACACAAAATGTCTTCAGCTTTGTTACAAAGAGCAGCCTTATTATCACACACACACACACTCATACACTCACACGCACACGTAGAGACAAAAAGGAATGTTGGAAGTAAGCTCAGCCTAAATTCAAGTCTGCCTGCGTCTGCCTGTGCGTGACGCCCTAGTGTCTCAAAAACATTAAGGTTCTGTAAGAGTGTGCATGCGCACTCACACGCGATGTGCGTTTATGTGTGCTATGTTCTTCTTTTAGAAGCTGTATTTCTGAAGAATGCCAGCTGGTGACAATTACAAAGTTTCCGAGGAAAATACAGACAAAAGATAACTAAGGAGTAAGTAGTCGGGAGGGAAAACACGTACTTGTTAGAGTCATTCTCCAAGAGCGTGATCGTAACTGCTTTTGAGAAGTGTGCGGAGCGTGGGTGTCAAGAGACTTACAATTAGGCAGGTAGAATTACAGTCTGCTTGTTAGGAACCAGGTGCCCCCAGCAGCCGGGTCAGCAACAACCACCAAAGTCAACACATTTGCCACATACTCTCAAAATGTCCCAGCCATCACAGGCCCCCCTCTCCCTCCCTCCATCCCTCCCTCTCTCCCTCCCTCTCTCCCTCCCTCTCTCCCTCTCTCCCTCCCTCCCGTTTTCTTCCTTCCTCTCCCTCCCTCCCTTCCTTTCTTTCTCTCTTCTCCCTCCACCTCCCCTCATGCTCACTCAGTGGTGGCCTTTCACCTCCTACCCAATAAATTTATTGCAAGAGGTCTGTTGTGTGGTATGACCTTTGCAGCTTTCCTTGGCTGCAACCCGCCAGGGCACTCTTCTGCAGAAAAACTCTAGCTCTGGTGCTGAGACTCG